TTGCTTATTTTTTTTCATGTAATGTGAATGCTGAATTTCCTAAAACTTACTATTTATATAAGATAATTTTCCATACCTGTTTTTATAAATTGATTAGCATAACATATCTTTTCCAATCAGTCTCCAGGTGTCACCTTTACTTTACTTAAACATTTAGTAAAGTTTTAAATATACATATATTCACCCATTTCTAAAGTAAAATATCCCTAACGCCTTTTCATATACACTCTCGCAGTTGGCTACACTGTACCAGAAATGAGATGCTTACAACAGTACATAGAGATATAGACTAAACATTTCCTGTTAAAACTGGATGACCATCATGATGTCACTAAACTCCCTTTATATATGACTCATTCAATTACACCACCATTCCCAGTTTGCCCCTGAAGAAGAAAGGTCCACCTTTCGAAAGTGCTCGAGTTACGGCATTTTAATTATTAATTGTTGCTGTAGATGTGTAGCAACTCTTGTGTTAGAAGTTATTATATAAATGAATTCCAAAGTTCCTTGGTATAGTTGAAAAATGACATCAACTATTCAAAAGCTAAATGTTTGAATGTTTATAGTTTTAGTTCTTCCAATTCATGAGTGCATCAGATAACTTGTTAGCAATCTTCAACCCTTCATCTTCTTGTTTACAATGAAAGCCTGCTTAATATTGCCAATAGTTGATTAAGTTTTTTGTGTGAAATTGTGTTTCTTGCTAGTTTAAGTCTTAATTGTCCAGGTGAGTTGATTTGGCACACTGTTGTATGGATTGTTTTATCTCATTGCAAAAAACTAACTGAATGAAATTGTTTGAAACTTGATGATTTGTCTACAGATTATGTAGCTTCTGCAAAGTTAGATGTCTTATGTGATATTTGTATGAATTTACAGCTTTGAAATGTTGGAAAGATTTCATTGTGATATGTTTTTAAGAAACAATTTAAAATGCTTACCTTTGTTGTAGATTTTAATACCTGATTTTATATCTTCCTATTCTCTTGTGAAACTTTCTCATAATGTTTTTTGTGTGAAACAGTAAATTTTATCTTTGTTGTGATTCAAAGACATTGCATGCAGTTTCACTGTGTTTACAATTACTTGTATACAATAAAAATTACATTTTTACCATGTCAAAATTATAAGCAAACTGACCTTTTTTCATTGTTAATCAGAAAGTTTTAGTTCATAAATATAATAAGTTTTAAACACATTTAAATTTTATATTTATTTATATATATATATCTTTATATATTTATTTTTGATGATTTTCTTTGCCCATGTAAGCAGGTACTTAAGCTGAAAAGGGGCCATAATGTAAACACAACCAAACAAACAGAGTGAGTTCTTGTCAGAAAAAAAAATATATGGTAGAGTGCAAAATGATAAAACTAAGCCTTCCTCATCTTGCTATCATGAAAAATATTTATTTTCCTGTTATTCTCCAACATCATAAGTCAAATTAATTATAAAATGATAGAGCGAGCTTAAAAAAAAAGAACTGTGATTTTGGTGAAACATCCTTTCTTCTAGCAACATCAAGTTAAGTTTTAATCACTTTGTTCCAGTCTTTATGCAAGTTTCATCTGAACTATAAGCCATATTAAAAAGAACACAAAAAAGAGCTTTCATAGCATATTTTAATCATTACCCAATTATTCTCAAAGTTGAAATATAGAAAATTGCCTCACACTGTGACAACCGGGTTGAGAAATCATGATTGGCTATAATCACTAAAACTACACTTGTGTACTAAGTTATGTGGTTCCAGTTGACACTATTGTTCAAAATTATTTTGACTTCCTCTTAGGTGGTTATGAGTGCAGTATTATGCTCAAGAAAAATTCAGAAAATACATTAACATTAATGTTTTTATTCAGAGCATGCTAAAATCAACCCAAAATTGAAATTTACAAAAAATGCTTATTAGATTAATTTTTTGAATAAATTTAAAAGCTGAAGTTTTTTTAATTTGTGGAATAAGAACTACAACTTTATGCTATACCTTAGTTAATCCAGTGATGCAATTTTGACCTTAGGCAGGTTAAATTCAGTTGGGCAGAGAAGAGTTAACTGTGTGACATTAGTCAAAAACTGCAAAATATGACAAATTTGAGAATAATGAAAACTACTGTCCAGTTCTTTTAGTTTATTATTATGACATGCACAATCCCATGTGACTGACACACATTCTCTCCTGTTTTATTGAATTTGATTATGCAGGCCTTTAATGTGTAAATGTAGGATGTCACTTTGTAGCCTACTAGTCATTTAAAATTATTTTTGTAGTGATACCAACATGAACTCTGGTGCTTCTGATTCCAAAATGTCACTATTTTCAACAATTATTCCAGCACAGTTCACATAACTAGAATACTTAGATCCTACTCATAGATTCTACTATCAGTACACAATTTTTAAGCCATGATTTATGTGGAATATCATCTTTAATGTAATTGAAACACTTCCTCAATAACTGGTTTTTTCCATTGTGCTTTTAACACCTGAGACTTTATTCTTCCAGAATGAGGTAAAAGAAACAGTATTTGACATACTTCTAAGCTTTAGGTAATAAAAGAACAAAGTCAGTGTGAACTGTTTTGTGATGCTACTGGAGCATCTAACTGGTCCCTTACCATTTCTATGTTTCAATTCAAGTGGGAAATCTTCAAAATTTTTTAATGTATTTTTAAATGTCATCTATTGTATGACCTTTGATTTTAAGTCTTTATGAGACATTTCATATTATTTGTTTTAATATTCTGATGCAATATGTTTAGACAGAGGAAAGTATACATGAAAGGCATTGTAGACTACATCTGCCTAGGAAGTTTTGAACAATCTTCATTATGCTAGCAGCTTGAAGCATCATCCAAAAGTTTATAGACAGATGAAGTCCTATAACAGTGCCTTTCAGTGCATATTTTCGATAAAAGGATTTGAACATTTCAGTAACATTTTAACTGGTGATTATTTCATTTTTGATGGCCCAGCCTTGCCAGCATTCATTAGGTCTTGATCAGTTATCTGATCTGTTACATGTGTTACATTTTAGATCTCAACAGACTCACTTCACTATTGCTCCTAAAAGAGATGGTGGTACAGAAAAAAATCCACGATAAGTTAACTATTTTAATTTCATAACCTCTCAGGATACTGTCTGTGAAGATAAATAACAGCATTACAGTCATTTAGTAATTGGATAATTTTTACAAAGTCTCCTGTTTAGATTAAATTCCTTTTAAGATTATAAAATAAGACTATTTCCACAAAATTTGGAATGTTTTCCATGAGTGGTAACTCAAAAGAATTATTTAATGTTGGTAAATATACAACTCCATCTAACATGCAGGTGACTAATTTTGGGTGATAGTTTTATTATATGTTGAAGAGTTTTTGTTTTTTTAACAATTTTAACCAGATATTTTGGGAAACTGTTGAAGATGGTTGACATTGTATTTTCTTTCAGTGTGTGTTGTGATTCACATATTGGTTAAAATTGATCTTTGGAAAAATGTTTCCAACACAAGCAACTGTATTTTCGGGGATACCAGATTTCAGTCTTGTCACTGTTAAAAGCCATTGCTTTAAAATGTCTTTTATTTTTATTCAGTGAAAATCTGAATCAGGAAAATATTAGTTTATTTATTTAATTTGCATTATGTTATTTAAAATGTTACATTGATAACACTTTGTGCACTAATACGTTAACGTTTAATAGACCTATTAGTTTTGAGTACTTCAACAATTTTTGACATTCTGTGCTGTAAACTTATCAAAGAACTACAAACACGAATAGTAATATTAATAATAGTTTAGTAGAAATGGGTATACACCATGGTAATAAATTGCATCATATATTAAATGGAGCTAGCTTTCAATTCTCTTCAGAATTGTTCTCTTAAGAAGAATCAGCAGTTAATGCAAACTTTTTCACATCTTACTACAGCTGCACCTTGCTGTTGTAGCCAGGCAAAACTAACCACTCAAGCTGGCCTCACCAGTTGCATGCAAGTAGTTACTTCAGTATACTTATTGGGTGTTACTAAGGGAACTATATTCTTTGCATGTGTTAGTGAGTCATTTGAAACTACAAACATGTATGACACAACATACTTAACTTAGTAAGACTGGCAGAGGGTGGTATAAGGGAAGAAAAAATATTTTGTTGTTTTTAGTTTGTAGAAAGAAAGAAAACAGTTCCACATGCTTTAACACATGGGTGTAGAGTTGCACAATTCAAAGCTTCTGCTTCACTTGCGTGATCATGAACAGTATTTGTATTGTATATTCATATGCTTTTATATTATATAGTGTTTAATTACGAGTATCATTACTCTACATTTTGTACAGAAGGCTTTGTATGCTCATTAGTTTATTAAGGAGAATAAAAAGTTTATTGTTATACTTCTATTTCATAATTTTTTAAGCAAGTACAGTAGATTTGAATGAGTATTTGTACTTATTATAGGTCTGTTAAAGACTAAGATATTTTTGAGAATGTCCTTGTTCTTGGTCAATTGTAAGAAACTTGTTATATTATAACTAGCTAGTAACCTTTTTTTAGCATTAGTTGTATTCAACAGTTGTACAGTTACTGTGGAACATTCTACCAGTATTTGTTCATTGTTTAAGCTGATAAGGCACTTCTTAACTTTTTTTTAATACAGTTGCATTTCTTTTCATGTTTAATTTTGTGGGGGAGAAAATTTAAATTCAGGGGCTAGTTCTACACATTTTTTGAAGGTTTTGCTTTTTTTTGAAGTTTAACTTCAGGTTTTTAGTTAATTTTCCCAAACTAGTACAAATTTTTTTTTTTTTTCTAAGTTGGTAAACTTACATAATATCTATAGTATATAAGGTGTCATAAATGTAAGTGCTCCTAAGGACATATAAAAATTTATCAATATCAGTCATTTTTTAGTCTTTGAGTGTGCATTATTAAATTTTTATGTGTAATTATATACAAAGTTTAAAAAAGAAAGTAAAGTGTAAGCAAAATATTTTTTCAGGTTCATTCTCAACAATAACATTCATATGTTAATATGAGAATTGAGAACAATCAGTATTGTGTCTGAGCCATTGTGCTGTTTCATCACCTGAAGGAAGTAGAGCAAGGCAGTGCACTATAAATGATAATATATATCATTTTCAGCTATGCCAAGATAATCAAGCATTTAATAGAAGTATTGTATTTGAAAATTAGATTGAGAGTTATTGTTAAGTTCAGGGTTGTTTTATTATAAAAACAGGAAATCTTGTTGAAAAGTAACAATAATATAATTTTGGTTGCTTTTATGAATTGATAAAGCCAGAATTATGTATGGAGGACAAGATATTCTGTTAGATGTTGAAGCTGTGAACAGTTGTAACTTGAAAATGCTTGTTGTTAAGTTTTCAAGTGCAGGAAGAGGTTCATTTTGTTTTCATTCAAAGAATAGTCTTAGTTTTGCTATTGAAGGGTAGGAGGACCTTATGGGATTATATTGTAGAAGATAAAATTTACATTAGATATTGAAGATGAACAAAAAGTTTCAGAGTGAGGTGCCTATTCAAAATAAGCTTAAAATGTTTTGTTAGTTGATCTCTGGAAGATCAGACATTTTGAGTATAAGGCTGTTGCATTGAACAACTGAAGAATCTATAAGAGTTTATTTTGGGGAAATAAGAATGTTAGATATTTAAGACTATTGAAGATTTTGATTACCTGTTTAGAGGATTCATGTATTTTGAAGTTTAAGGTGACCCTTAGAAGATAACATGCTTGTGAATAAAGTAGTTGTGTTAGTTAATAATATGTGTTAAATATGTTTTGAAAGCTCTGATAGTGTGAGTGGGATGATGAATCAAGAACAGTTTTTTTAAATTGAACTAATGTTCTGATAAACCTTGTTGTTTGTGAATTTATAATTCAACCATACAGTTTACTAAAGAAAAACCTTCAAACTGAGCTGTTTTTTATAATGAAATGAAAAAGTGCAGTATACTGTATTCTAGACTTTAACAAGGGCTACGCCATGGTTTTCTATTTGTGCTTATCACAACTTGGTTGTATATTGATTTAAGAGTGTTTCTAATATTGATTCTCTAATGTCACTAGTAAGGTGTGTTGAAAAAAAGCTTTCCAATTTATACATAAAGACTTGTGTCAAGGAAGTTAAATAGGGAGTTTTAAAATTGGTTAGTTTAGCTTTGAGGCTCAAATGAGGTCTGTACTCGTACCATACTTTATTTCAAAATATGCTCATTCATCTCTGGTGCTTTTGGTAAGTTACCAGTGATAAATTAGTTAATTACTGTATTTCATGGACAGTGAAATTTTGCTCATTTATTTCAGTATCTATTATTTTGTAATTTGGTGTTTAGACATAATAGAAGGTCATAATAAGAAATGGGGTAATAGGAAATTGGTAGGGATTTGACACAGTAAAGGAAATAGAAAACCCAGTAAGCTAAGAGTAAGGTATAGCTCTCTTTGTTTTTTACTTACTATACATTCTTCTAAATTAACTGGAGTTATTTGTTTGATTATTTTGACCAAAATATTGTTAGTGACTAACATTACTGTTTAGGCAAGACAGGATGCTTTAAAAAAGTTAATCTACCCTAATCAATAAAGTTTTATTGGTAGTAGCTTCAGTAACACATATATATAAATTGACAAAAATAACAATATATTAACATTTGTAGAGAACATACAAAATACAGCCAAGCAGGATGCTTGAAGAAATTAGATCTGCTTAAAAAGTTTTATAAAAAATTGTTTTGGTAATTTATGATTAAAATATGAATTATTATGAATCAAAATTTTCTTTTTTTATCAGATAGTTAGTTAAGTTTATAAAACCAAATTGGAAAGTATTCTGTATTGTATATGATTTGTTATTTGGAAATTGTTTGTAATTTTGTTAAAGGAGAAATTTTGCCTCACTTTGACCTAGTACTTAAAAAGTTGTTTTTGATTTGTGTATAACATTCCAGTTTTTTACAGTGTACTATGATGAAAATATTAGGTATCTCATTGGTTTCATTTTTTTTTTTTAAATCAGGTCTTTCTTAAGTATATTTATGATTCACTGCAATGATGTATTTCTTCATCGTGTGAAAAATAGTGTACTCAAATTTTCTTTCACAGTTTTTAAACTATTTTTGTGTGTGGCAAAAGCAGATCAGTTACTTTTACTTGAAGATCAAAGAGTGTATGTTAATATGTGTAATGAGGTTAGCATTTGCATCAGAATGTATTAGTGATTTAAGTATATGTTTGGAGTTGTTTTTGTTTTTTTTTTTATTTTCCTTGACAGTCATCAGTCACAGACTGGTTTTGGCACACCATTTATAGGTAGTTTCTGTAACAGGCAATGATTATTGACGGATTTTTCTGGTGCTCTGAAGTAAGAGCAGAAAATGAGTTGACCCTAACATAATAGAAATGACAATAAAATGCCTTTATTTTTACTCATGTATTCCCAAAAGGAAAAATTTTATAATAGGTTGATTAGTATCAATTTATTTAGCATGCAGTTCATATTTTTGGTAGAGTACTATAAAGAACATGAGAGACATAACTTTCCAGAACTGATAATGAAACTATGCATTTCACTATTGTTCTAGTATTTAATCCACAATTGTAAGTCATAACAGTAATTTACATATTCAGTGTAAGTGAAATGAAATCTAAACTCAATATTTCAATAAAAAGAAAAAGGTTTTGGTGAAAGAAATATATTTTAACTTTGTTAAAGTTAGAAATATATTAATGAATGTTTTATTGGCACTGTTGTTGAATTTTGAGGTAGGGATGTGGTAAGATATAGTCAAATTATGTTAGGTTTTTTTTTTTACTTTTTTCTACTTCAGGTGTTTTTATGAAGTAATAGTAACAAACTGAATAAAACTAGTGATATGTGTTATACATGATTAAGATAGATCAAGTTTGTATGACAAATTTTTATTAGATGCTACTCAAGACAACTTTCTCAGACAGACTCTCTGTTTTTATTTTCAGATATTTTCAAAACAGTAAGAAGTTATTGTATATGTATTACATAGTAATTTTCAGAACATTGTTAACCAGATTTTGTTTCATGTTACTTTAAGCTTCAGTTGTATTTCACACACCACAACTGATTGCTATGTGCATATATTTCTCTTAAAATTAACATTATGTGAAGTAGTTTTATTTTTTCAGTACAAGGAAAGTAATGTTAATATTTGTTTGTCTGTTGCTTCGTCAGTTATTAAGATATACTTTCATACTCACACATCACTAGTAGTTTATTCTGATCATGCAGTTCTTTAATTATCTGTAGAATTATAAAAGTTTTGATTCCTGTGCTGTGCTTAAAATAAAACTAACATGTTACTGATTCAGTATGTTTGGAGCAGTAATTATCTTTAGATAGATCAAAAGATTGCTTGTTTGTAAAAGAAATAAAACTTGAAAAGTTAATTTCACATACTTCTGTTGTATGTAGCTCGATATTTGAAATATGAACATTCTTTAAATGTTATTGAAACTATTTAGATCTGTTTCAGGTGAGTTTATGTAACTTTGTGATATTGAAACAAAGTGATTCATTAAAAGCATTTTGTTGTATATGATTCTTTATGCAAAGTGTGTGCTTTTCATTTAAATTAATTTTATTTCAACCTGCATGACATAATACTAGTAGTAATTATTTTGTTTCCTTCATTAAAATATCAAATTTTAATAAGTTAAGTGGTTTTTATATACATATAAACTTTGTATGTTAAGGGCTTCACCTAACTCAGTGTTGGTGTGGTACAGCTTTTCATATCTCATTTTGTTAAATGCTATCTTTTTTACAAACATTTTTGTTAATATTGATCATTAGGACTAGTAGCTGGTCATTTGAACTGTTAATCACTGTTGTTTCAAGTTTTAAATTTCTGTTTGTAAGAATTATATATGTTGAAGATCAAAAGATATGTCTTTAAACAAAGTTTAGGACTTTCTGAAACTTGCATGCGGTCATAAATTGAATGACATATATTCATTACAGTTGTTTTATGACATAAAAGTTTATTATGCCCCTAAAATAGAAAAGATAAATACATTAAAACTTTCATTTTCTGAGTGATATCATAATTTAAAGCATAATGTATTATTTTGTAAGTATTGAATGTAACTGTACCTTAGCCTTGATTTCTGAAAACATTGGCTATGATAATAGCTAGGATTTGATAACACAAAATGCCATCATTTGTTTAAGGGTTAAAAGTTTTATGTTTTACCATTTATTTTTCTTTTGTTAAAATTTTCATAATATTCATTTTGTAATGTTTATTTGTATATTTGAAAATCAATATTAATAATGAAACTAAATTTCTTTCTTTTTTAAGTATGTATAGTTTTTTTATATGTACAGACTTCATTGGATTACTCTTACCCAGGCATTATGTATCTAAAATATGTTACCCAAATATAAAAATTTGATAATAAATTTCTTATAAAAATAAAGTGTTTTTCAAGTTACAAACTTTTAAACTTTATTGAATTACTTGCATGTATTAATCATACGGTAATATTTATCAAAACATTATAGGAACATTCTTGTTGATATGTGTTGTGCAAATATCTAAAATTGTAATTCAAGTTCTTAAAATAACTTTAAAAAATGTATTTTGGTACTATATTTAGTGTGTAAAGCATTGAAGTTATTACAAAGTAACATAGAAAAACTGATTTCTTTTTTGTAAATTATTCTACAATTAATAATACAATCAAAACAAGTTCATGAACATAAGATGGATTACATTTTTTACAAGAATCATGTGAAACCTAAAAATTTTCATTCACTCTTTCAACACGGTCTTGGTCCCTAGGACCGACCTCGTAATCATTTTGTGCTTGTTATAGTTTTCATGCTATAACTTTTAAACTAGTAAGAGAATGTTAACGAAATTTGGAAGGTTATCAGTAAACATTACAATGTTTTTTGCGCAAAATATAATTATTTGTTATTAAGTCTTAAGGTGTATAAAGCAATGTTTTTCTCATGTATTTTTATTGTTTTCGCATTTTACCTATCTATCATGCAAAGTAATATTCATTTTAAGATTAAAAATACTTTTTTTGCACCAGAAAATTTTTAAATTTCACATGCGAAATCCTTATAATGTCCAGATAGTTATCAAATGTTTCTTACGAAAAAACTATATTTTATCTGTTATTTTCAGTAATTAATCTCTGTACGGGTTCGGTGGATTTGACCGATTTTGCAACCACCATAAAAATTTGTAAAATTAATATAAATTATGCCTCTTTCATTATAGAATAAACACAAATTATAGCACGAAATCATAAATGTTTAGACTAAATAGCTTAAATCTCATAATATTATACATTTATATATATTTATTACTTTATTATATTGACCTTTCAGCCGTGCCTGGCTAACAATACATAAGTTACCGTGACGTGGCTCACGTGCACTCATGTTACCGTATCAAAAAACATAAAACTGACCTTTGGTCTGTACAAAGTAACTTGTCTTGGTTGTGTTTCAGTAAACTAGTATAATGTAAACATTCATAGATATGCAATAACGGTCAAAAATCCCTAATCTGTTCCAAGGTCTATAGATACTTTGGGGCTTCAAAGTTCAATGCAAAGTACTTTTTGAAACCCAACGTTGGCTCAATATAATTTAGTACGCTAAAATTTGGGAGGAATAAAGAGTCCCTTTAAAATTAAACGTAAGCATAAGATGTCTTGTTTCCCCCCACCCCACCCCCAGTTTTTGGTGCTGGCGCCGCCACTGCCAGAATGATTCATTTTTTTGGTTACACATCAAGATGCCGGGGTGGGGTGGCAGGTGTTAAAACTTTAATGCATGTGCTTAGATTGTCTACATGAACATGTTGTGCCTATCTGTGAACGACGTTTAAATCGTTATATGGTCTGTCATAGTCAAGGCTTCTGTGTGGGGCCATTACTCTAAATACGTTGTTGAATGTTTTCTCGTGACTCCTGGAATACTGGACACATGCAGAGATGGACACAGAAGATTTTATTTTTCCTTCTTTGAATAATGAACTAATGTTTTGGTATGGGTAACATGGCGTTCTGGGAAGTCCTGGCAGAGTTTGAACTGGGATATTGGTCCAAGCAAAACTTGTGTTTGATCATAATCGTCATATTGTTCGTCTAATTCGAGCCATACTCGTGACTGTGGAGTTGGTGTTGAAAACTAGAGAAACTGGCCATATTAAATAATAGTCAAGCATTTATTTTCATTGTTTTATTGATTAGTTAGCTTCATTTCTTTTTTGTTTTAAAGTGAAACAACTTTGTAAAGTTCCTATTTTTTGTTAGTCAGATTTGTTTTACTCATACTTTGCATAGAATTGCTAAACATGTCTTGTATTTGTGGTATTTAATTTACTTACCTGTTGACCAAATGTGATTTGGAATACTACAGACCTAAGTTTTTGTGTGAAAAATTTGGTGACTCACGAAATATTGCGTGTATACACTCAACAAGTTGTCTTGCTGTTCTTGGCCATAAGCGCAATGCTATCACAGATGGTGGTGTCAAAAAGGACGAGTGTCTTTAGTATTCTTGGCATCTCAGCTATGTGGTGGCCGATAATCTGAATGTGGACTGTTGTTGAAACTGTCACTGTCTTATGGTGGGCATATAAATAAATCATCTCGCTTAGATGATTACTCGAAGAATTCCAGACAAGTGTAATTGTTTGGAATGACTAGACTTGGGGACAGGTGGTACAGTGCCTCATGATAACCTTGGAATTGTTAATAGTCGATACTGTAGAACACTTGAGGGAGGAGCAACTCGGAAGTTAAGCACAATCATGGTTTAAATGCACTGCAAATTTAACCCATAGAGAACTAAACAATTCACAGGGCTAAGATCGAGGCTGGAAAGTTAAAACATCTTGCCCATTGATACAAATGACCTGTGAAACTAACATGAGAAGGACTTCCTAATATATCAGTAGCTGATCATATTAAGGAAATATTCAATAACAAGCTTATGGAAAGATTATCAAGCAAACTCGTGCAGCACCACGTGAGCATCAGAGATATTCCTACACAAAAGAAAAATGCTAGAGAAAATTATTCTCACAGTAGTGGTTGTAGTGACTGAAACTGTTTTGAAACACGCTTTAGAGAAGGCAATGTCTCTTTGAGCTCAACATGCATAATTTCATAATGGCTGGAGACGGCTTGAATGGGTAATGAAGAAAAACTTTAATATAAGTTTAGCATAACAGCAACTTTTATTCAACTTATATTAAAATTTTTTCTTCATTACCCATTCAAGCCGTCTCCAGACATTATTAGTCTCAAAGTGGGTTCCTCGTCACCGAATTTGAATACATAATTTCAGATCAATTGCTATAATAATCACTATGTGCAGATGCACAGGTTGCCTGTGGTTAGCCAGGGCTATTAAATAGCTTTTAGTATCACAACACTTTAATTGCGGCACTCAGACTCTGAAAGATGAAACTTAGCAGGGGAGAAATGTTTTTTGTTTTAAATGCAGGACGCTTACTAACTAGAAGAAAACTCTCCACACCTCGTCATGTAACAGGAGAAATAACAGGTTTTTTTCAAACCCACTTCTCTACCTCACTTTCTAATAAAGTCTGGTCGTAATGGTTGTGAGTACTATTAGTAAGGCAGAGACTGCTGAAGATGACATATATTTATTCGAGCATCTGATTGAGGACAGTACAAAAAGCATGTACTCAGTACATTGACAACCACTCAATGCTCTGTAGATTGCTAGTGGAATTTGCTAGTATATTTGCAGGCCTAAATGGCTGAATGAGTATAAAAACAATAATTCTGTCGCTACTGTAAACACTTTCACATAATACCAACAACCCTTTAATAAAGGATTCACAACTGTACCAAGTACATGTGAAAAATATCTCTTAACAAAGATACTAACGGATATTACAATTATGGAAACACTCTTTAATTAATAAAGAAAACAAGTTAAACTCTTCAACAAAGATTTCATTTTTCACAATATGCATGTGAAAAATGCCCTTTATAGTATTGTAAGATATGTTTTAATTTAGATGTTTGTTTGCTAAGAGAGTTATTCATCATGATGATGCAATATATCTAGAAAGATCATGAAAGTTAAAGCCTCTGTAGAATATAATATATTTGTGTAGTACGTAGGAACTATATGAATAAGAGACCTAGAGAAACAGTTAGTAATTACGTTAATTCCTAGTAGTGAGAGTTAATGTATCTATTTGTCTGCGACTTAGTTAAAAGTGAGTTAACGGTTTAGCTGAGGAATTATAATTATACAAGTAAGTTAGGCCTATAAGTGAATGTAGCTTGTTGTAAATGTTATTGAAGAAATCAATTATTTCGTTATTATGTGGATTAGACTTGTCAATATTTTTACAATATGATCCAAAAGAACGTGCCCAATGATAGAGTACATTAGAACGCTGATGTCAAAAGTGCGATTATTTGCAGAAAATAAAACTTTGACTAAATTTGAAGATGACAACTTGATCATGAAGCAAGATCAAAACATTACTAGATTTCACAGAAGCCTTAAATTATATTGCATTATCATCGTAATTAGC